TTTTTAACAAATTTACAACTGTACTTACTCAGTTGTCAGTTTGTTAGGTGGAGAAAAGACAGACAGTTTTGTGTATTTTATGTATTTTTGTTTTAAACCAATTCATCAGAAATTAAAGGTCTAGTACTCTTAAAGAAATGCATATCACTCACTGACTTTAATGGCAGAGCAGTCTCTTTGGTAAAACCTTCATACCTTAATATCATTCTTAATGATGTCAATCTCATGCAATTTGTGAGATCTTGCAAAATCTGTTACTGCTTGGAATGTGTGTTGAGGAGGATTTAGCTTCTACCACACCATCAGTATCAGATAATTTTGTCTAAGGTCAGTTTGCTGGGGTGGTCATTTTGAAGAGTCAACTCCAAAGTCAATGATTAAATGTAAATGTGATATATATATACAGTATATATATAGTTGTCAATGCATGTTGCATGCAATGATGACATTGGTGCTCTGCATTTGACACATCACAAGTGAGACACATTAAAGTGGAACAGCGAGCAGCTATTCAAGCACCCAGGGAGCTGTTGTCTTGCTCAAGGATGCCACAACATGTGGGCATGACGAGGAATCAAACCTGTCCTGTTCTGGTCCCAGCAAGTCGGCTGCACCATAGCAACATATGTATACACTCTCTCTTTATAAGCTTAACAATGCTGTGCTTGTATTTATTTACTTACAGCGGGTAAAATAAGTACTGAACATGTCAACATTTTTCTCAGTAAATATATTACTAGAGGTGCTAATGACATGAAATTTTCACCAGATGTCGGTAACAACCCAAGTGATCCATACATACAAAGAAATCAAACCATAAATGTCCAGAAATGAAGTTAATTGTAATAATGTGGAATGGCACAGGGAAAAAGTATTGAACACACTTACTGAAATTTATCTAATACTTTGTACAAAAGCCTTTGTTGTCAATGACAGCTTCAAGACGCCTCCTGTATGGAGAAACTAGTGGCATGCATTGCTCAGGTGTGATTTTGGCCCATTCTTCCACACAAACAGTCTTCAAATCTTGAAGGTTTCATGGACCTATTCTATGAACTCTGATCTTTAGTTCTTTCCATAGATTTTCTGTTGGATTCAGGTCAGGTGATTGGCTGGGCCATTCCAGCAGCTTTAGTTTCTTTCTCTGAAACCAACTGAGAGTTTCCTTGGCTTTGTGTTTGGGCTCATTGTCTTGCTGAAATGTCCAGCCACGTTTCATCTTCATCATCCTGGTAGATGGAAGCAGATTTTTTATCAAGAATGTCTCTGTACATTTTTCCACTCATCCTTCCTTCAATTATTTGAAGTTTGCCAGTACCATATGCTGAAAAACAGCCCCACACCATGATGTTCCCACCTCCAAACTTCACTGTTGGTATGGTGTTTTTGGGCTGATGTGCAGTGCCATTTGACCTCCAAACATGATGTGTATTCTGGCATCCAAACAGTTCAATGTTGGTCTCTTCTGACCAGACTATATTCTCCCAGTATTACACAGGCTTGTTTAAATGTTGTGCAGCAAACTTTAAAGGAGCTTCAACATGCTGTTTCTTCAGCAGTGGAGTCTTGCGTGGTGAGCGTGCATACAGGCCATGGTGGTTCAGTGCATTACTTATTGTTTTCTTTGAAACAAACGTACCTGCTAATTCCAGGTCTTTCTGAAGCTCTCCACAAGTGGTCCTTGGCTCTTGGACAACTCTTCTGATAATTCTTTTCACTCCTCTGTCAGAAATCTTGAGAGGAGCACCTGGTCGTGGTCGGTTTATGGTGAAATAATGTTCTTTCCACTTCTGAATTATGGCCCCAACAGTGCTCACTGGAACCTTCAGAAGTTTAGACATTCTTCTGTAACCGATGCCATCATTATGCTTTGCAACAATAAGGTTGCGAAGGCCTTGAGAGAGCTCTTTACTTTTACCCATCATCAGATGGTTCTTGTGTGATACCTGGCCATCATTTGGGACTGAACCAGCTGATATTAACTTGCACTGACAAGGGGCAGGCTTGCTTTCTAATTACTGAGAGAGTTCAGCTGGTGTCTTGGCTTTCCATGCCTTTTTACACCTCCCTTTCTTCATGTGTTCAATACTTTTTCCCTGTGCCATTCCACATTATTACAAATAACTTCATTTCTGGACATTTATGGTTTGATTTKTTTGTATGTATGGATCACTTGGGTTGTTACCGACATCTGGTGAAAATTTCATGTCATTAGCACATCTAGTAACATATTTACTGAGAAAAATGGTGACGTGTTCAATACTTATTTTACCCGCTGTATATACTTATCTTCATAGATCTCAGTTTATAGGATTTTATACCTGAACCTAATTTCTGCTATAGCAATAAATGAATCATTTGCAAATAAAATATTGCTTGAACAATATTAACACACAGAGGAAATGATGAATGCAACAGCACAAAGTTTGCAAGATGTAAGACACTCATAAATGTCACCTCATGATTATCTGTCTTGTTTGGCTTCAGTACTGAGTTCACAAAGTTATTTTTCATTCAGCAAAAGACAAATAATTGGATAAATTACAAAACATTTAGTTATACTACTAAAAGAATCAATAAACAATTTGATGAAACAAGAAGTGTTACATGAACTAAATACCATCATGAGTCTGGCAAACAGACTGAGCTCCAAAGTCATGACCATTTTGTATTTTTCAGTGACACTTCAAGAATTAGGACCACTCAGTAAAGCTAATTAGTTGTAAACTGCAAAAGCTAATAAATCCAAACAAGACAAATCATTGTTAGAAAGTAAATCAGAATAATCTGGTTTTTTTCATAGTAAAATCACCAGTTTTCCTGCTTTATTGAAATTTATGAAAGCCTATCATAACTTGTCATATTTTTGCCTTACCTTACTCCAGAAACCTTGTGTTTTCTTCCCTCAGCAACTTATGAGCATTGTGTTTATAAACTTGTGAATTTTTGGTCAAAACTTTAGACTGCTGACCCCATAAGAAATTTAAGATGAAAAGATAAAATCCATTTTCTTCTAACACAATAAAAAATTGTTTGGAGGTTAATTTAAAACATATTTTTTTGTAGACAGCAAATGTTCTTCATCTTTGCAGTAACAAATTTTGAAAATCATTAGTTTGCAATATTTTGACACATCTTTTTTGTATACAGTATCTTTGCTCTAACAGAGTTTTCCTTTTAACACTTTCTAATGATCGATTTCCTCCTCCAAACTACTTCTGTCAACTCCCACCCTTAAGTTTCTTTTCAGAAGAAGAGGGAATTTTCTTTTTTCCCCCTTTTTTGGCCTCTCTGGATGCATTGTTATCCCTCGGACTTCAACTATTGTTTTAATGACTTAATATACACTCACCGGCCACTTTATTAGGTACACCTGTCCAACTGCTCGTTAACACTTAATTTCTAATCAGCCAATTACATGGCGGCAACTCAGTGCATTTAGGCATGTAGACATGGTCAAGACAATCTCCTGCAGTTCAAACCGAGCATCAGTATGGGGAAGAAAGG